ATTCCATAGTATCTTATTTTGAACGTGCACACGCCTTAACACTGTTTCTGTTTTCTGTGTCTGTTCCCATGGTGACTGGTTTGGAGGGGCCAGCTGAGCCCTGTGGTCCTGAGATCTGATGAAGCTGACGAGAAGAACTCTGTCTCCAGAAGATGAAGAACGAGAGATGGAGCTGATCAGAAGTGATGTGATGAAGCTGATGAGATGAATCTAAGTCATCTTAACTTAAATTCATTTGACTCTAATAATGATAAACAAACATGAGGTAAGTAATAAAAATTCCATAGTATCTTATTTTGAACGTGCACATGCCTTAACACTGTTCTGTTTCTGTGTCTGTTCCCATGGTGACTGGTTTGGAGGGGCCAGCTGAGCCCTGTGGTCCTGAGATCTGATGAAGCTGACGAGAAGAACCCTGTCTTCAGAAGATGAAGAACGAGAGATGGAGCTGATCAGAAGTGATGTGATGAAGCTGACGAGAAGAACCCTGTATCCAGACAGTCATTTGGGTCACTTTTGGCTGAACTATCAGAGCACAACGCACAGCCATGCGCAAAGTTTACGCAGCAGCACAATCTGAGCCCCAACAACACAAAACACTGCTCACAACCCGCCCCAACAATGTCAACAAAACTACAATAAGAGGCTACGGTCCCAACACGAACACATCAGCGCTGCTCCTACAGCACATGGCAGAACACCGGAGCAGCTCGGGGTCTAATCAGAAGTCCTTTTTGGAGCCAGTCTCATCCCGTTACCACCAGTTTCTGTAAGCCTCCAGTCAGCCTCCATCTCCACAGACCTCCCATCTGTAGCCAACCCGGACCCGTCCTGCCTTCCCTGGAATCTATCCCCCTGCCAAGACTATTTTTGTAATAAAATACTTTTGTTTCCCTCTGCATATTTGGGTCCGACCAGTGATTCCTTAACACACTGGTGTATGAGTGTGTGTGAATGGGAGAATGGTTCCTTGATGTAAAGAGCTTTGAGTGCCTTGAAGGTGGAAAAATGCTGTATACAATGTGACCACTAACAACTGTGATTTCTGATACTACTATCTTTGTTGCTTCTGTTATCACTACTGCTGCTACTGCTATTACTACTACAACTACAACTACAACTACAACTACTACTACTACTACTACTACTGCTGCTGCTACCACTATTACTACTGCTGCTGCTACTACTACTACTACTACCACTATTACTACTAATACTGCTACTATGACTACTATTATTACTACTGTTGATACTACTTGATACTGGTTCTGATACTACTTCTATTATCACTACTGCTACTACTGCTACTGCTACTGCTACTACTACTATTATTATTACTACTGTTGATACTACAACTGGTTCTGATACTACTTCTATTATCACTACTGCTACTGCTACTGCTACTAATACTAATACTACTAATACTAATACTAATACTAATGTTTCAATACTTTGGCACTGAAGTAGTACTACTATTACTACTACTATTGATTCTACAACAGGTTTTGATTCTATTGTAACCGAGGTTAATATATACAAATCTAGTCAATAGCGAATATTCCAACGGCGATGGGTCACTAAACGCAACACGCGCACGCTCGTGCTTTCGATAAATCACCTGCTCCCCTCCCTCCATACACACCCGGGAGTGAGGCGAGACAGGACGGCTGCACAGGAGCCCTTACCGCTACTATCCGATGCTGAAAAGACCGTACTAAATGATAGCACAAGGGAATTGGTGAGTCTGTCTGTTTTGTTTGTTTTGCATCATCTGCGTCCCACTCCTCCTCAAGCACCTGTGATGGGATTTCAGGGACATGCCATGGCGCAAGCAGGTCCCCTCTGTTGGTCTGGCCCAATAAATATTCCACCGCTATGCGCTCACCTGTAACCAGTATAAACACAAGATGAGAGAAGGACATACATACACACATCCATCTCCATAGCACAGTCTTTGCACCCAAGAAATCCAACATCTTACCAGTAGGTTTCCCAGGTGGGGGGAATTCTGCCACTAGATTACAACCACGGACACGCTGGCTTAAGCTGTTGAGGTGGGACATCGGGCGGACATCGAAGCTTGTAAGGGTCGAGGCCCCGTCCACAACTACTGCCTCCTTGGCCCCGCCCATGTTCCACCTTGATAGCCCCTCCAGCATGTACATTTGCACATGTGTAGCATTGCACCAGCAGCCTAAGAAACAAAATACTTTGTTCAGTCAACACCATCATTGTAAAGTGAATCCATATGAATACATAACAGTGTTAGTGATTGTGTTATGTTGAATAATTACAGTACATTCTCTGTCATAACAGAAAAGAACATAAAAAAATAAAAATACAGTATGTCTTGAGGCAAATGTACTTGCAACGAAAGCGCACTGGTGCCAGTGAAAACTCTGCAGGGAGGAGGACCCCCTACCACACCTAAGGATGTCCAGCTCTTTCCCGCCCTTTTGGAGTGTCCCCACCTTTGTATACAGTGCAACACCTGGGGGGTCTTGGAGGCACTCCAGGTGTTTGTGCTGTGTCTCCCAGATGCGGCTCATGCTGTCATGGCTCACCAAACACAGCCCTGTGGTGTCTGTGAGGTCCCACACTGATTCCAGCTGCCCTAAATTCATACGCCACATCTCCACTCCCTGCAGAGTCTCTTTAGTTCTCCTGGGCTGATAGTGGCCATAAGCTGTTCCTCAGTGGGAACATATCCACTGTGGCTGCTCTTCCACTCCTCTCTCTTGGCCTCCTTCAGGTGTTGCACATCCTTCTGGTCCCATTCAAAAACGCAGGATGACAGCTTGGTGCAAAAGGTGCCATATAGAGGGTGGTGTTCTGTAGTGAGGCCACAGTTGAAGTGCCTCACAAAATGAAAACTGTCTGAGCGCACTGCAGACTTCCATGGGTGGAAGAGCTTGGTCACTAAAGACACACCTGTGAAAAACAACCACTGTAAAACACATAAAAAAACACATTTAATACAAATTGTTCTAACAGTGTGTGCGTGTGTCTGTCTGTGTGTGTTTCTGTGTGTGTGTGTTTCTGTGTGTGTGTGCGTGCATGTGTGTGTGTGTGTCTGTGTCCCTCTGGTGGTCAAAGCTGATGGTACGTGTGTGTCTGTCCATGTGTGTGTGCGTGCACATCTGTCTGTGTCCGTTTCCATGTGCGTGCGTGTGTCCCTCTTGTGGTCAAAGTTGATGGTACTGTGTGTGTGTGTGTGTGTGTGTGTGTGTGTGTGTGTGTGTACCTGTGTGTGTTTGTGTGTAGTGGTTTCTGTGTCCATTTAGACCTGTTTAGCCATGTTTTCCTGTTTAGACCTGGTTTCCTGTTATGTGTTTAGAACCTGTTTAGAATTTCCTGGTTTTTCTGTTTAGTGTGAACCTGGTTTCTTTGGTAATTTAGTGTTTGTGTTTCTAGACCTTGGACCTGGTTTCAAAGCTGATGGTACAAACATGTGTGACTGTGTGTGTGTTACTCCTCTATACATGGTATGTGTGTGTCGTGTGTGTCTGTGTGTGTGTGTTTCTGTGTGCGAGTGTGTGTGCGTGTGTGTGTGTGTCTGTGTGTGTGTTTCTGTGTGTGTGTGTGTGTGTCTGTGTGTGTTTCTGTGTGCGAGTGTGTGTGTGTGCGTGTGTGTCTGTGCGTGTGCATGTGTGTTTCTGTGTGTGCGTGCATGCGAGTGTGTGCATGTGTGTGTGAGAGAGAGAGACCCACCTGTCTGGGGGCAGCAGTCCCGATCAACAGATGAATGCTTGGCCCGCATTTTTCTAACAGGTGACGACGCCTTGGCACAACTCTTCCAACCCTGCACCTTCACCCGTCGTCAGAACAGAGTTCAGAACCTGGTCAAACTCATTGCCGATGTTGGTCATCCACGCAGCACTGCCCACTATTCCATCAGTCAGCTTCTTGGTGATCTGTAAACCAAATACAAGCACAAGAAGCAAACCAATTTCCTTTTGGTTTTTTCTTTGCAATTATACATGTTGTATTTTATACATTTTCTGGCTGAAATCACTGAGGTGGTTGGCAAGTTCCTTGGTGGCAAGGCTCCAGGGGTGGATGAGATCCGTCCTGAGTATCTTAACTAAGAACAGTAGCAAACATAATCTTCAAACATATGCATAAGGCTGCCTGAAGCATATAAACAAAACACCCAAATAACATGAATTAAATAATAAAATAAAGCCCACATTAAACGAGGAGTAGCTGAGCATCCAGCTGAAATTTAGCAATGAAGCTACCATGCGTAATAAACACATTAGGACTTAGGAACAACTTAAACATTCAGATTTTCACACCAAACACCTTAGTATAACACAGCAAAACACCCACCTGTCTCATGGACGCACACTATAACTACAAACAGAGGTATAAGAGAAACAAATTTTGTATATTCTCACAAAACGGCCACGCTCCTAGGGGTCAGGCTTGGCACTGCACCGTAACTTAATAAACGCTATATTACAGCACTGCCTTCATAACAGGGCCGCCACCACGTGGAGCTATCAAGTACTATAGCATTAATACACGTGTAATACTGACTGTTACACTCTGCAAATACTGACTTAAAGAAGTTATAACAGAAACTATAACGCCTGTGGATCATTATGTTTAATGTCCATACTATACTATGGAAATTAAAATCTCTTAACTGCACATCACACTAAGCAGCAGCTTCTAAAGATAACATGGTTAAAACTCTAAAGAACATTTTATGCAAAATAAATAATCTATAAAATCTATATATTTTAAATATACTTTATTTGATTGAAATGAGTACTCCAAATTCTTAAATGGCTTCTTTCTTCTGTACTTCCTCTGTGTCTGTGAGCAGTCCAAACATATTCACCTCCACATACATGCAAACACGTTTGTCAGGAACTGACTTGAGATCACCTGCTCACAAACACAATGAAATTGTCACATTTACATAGCTCTTTTTTACCTTCAAGTCACCACTCACCCATTGACACAATTCACATCCACATTCACACATGAGTATGCACAGACACTGGGATCTGGATAAGAGGATGAGCCCTCGGCCAGAGCTACTACCATTTCAGTTACCAGAGGAGAACCCCCAGGGCCTTCAAGGTATTCAGTGAAGGCCCAAGAAAAATATTGAATGCATTTTTGTACTACTAATATATTTTTTCAATATTTTTTATTCAGCGAGTAATAAACATTCTGCTAGTAATAACTTCTAGATCATTTTTATGGACATTTATTTTGTGTTCGAGGGCCTTCAGAACAAGAGTGCAGGAATATTTTGTTCTGAAAATACCCCGGATCTGTCAGTCTTGCGTCTGATTTCCTGTTTTGATCATCTGGTTTTGGCAGCTTGACGTCGGAGACTCGTGCGGATTCTTTCCGCCCGCACCCGCAGCAGCACCTCACCGAGGTCAGCTGTGAAATAAAAACTGGAGTGAAGATTTACTCGTGTAGATTGTATTTACGGACTTAAATGCTTTAATTTCAAGGTGATTTCAGTGAACAGCCTCAGTACCAGCAGTAGCTGTGAGTGGGCTGCCGCTCCCGTATTAGTCTATAACCCCATCGGCTTTAGGCTGGTCCTGCTGGTAAAGGAGCACATGAACCACACCACACACAGCCGCGGTGTACTCAAAAAGAGGACTGTGCGTGGTGTTGCGCCCACATCTGACAGTGCTTCGGCCCACCGGGAAAAGTCCCGGTGCTCCGGTGCTGTCAGTAAGTTATTAACTTATTAAGCCTTAATCGAAAAACACTAGGTGCTGTTGCATTTCCATATCCAGGATGGAGTTCAAAGAGGGAACTTCAATTTTCATTTTGCATTTTGGAGACATAATGTTTCATTGCCTCAATACCCCCATCATGTGGAATGTCGAGTTTAAATATTCTGTATTTCAGGGGTAACTCCTCCTTGGAATAAGCCCCACCTTCCCAGGTTGAGACACAGCAGAGTCTGACACCAGCTCAAAGCAGCAGCAGCACATATCTATGCGGGACACGTCCTCAAGGTAAGACTGGACTTTAGACAAATGACTTGTTAGTCATTTACATGTGCCCTGACTTTACTACCTGCTGCGGTTGTCTGGCAGTGTATAAAACGGTATATTCTATGACAAATACATATGATTTAAATCTCAGAAATATTTGCATTGAGCATTGTTTCATAGATGTTTTGCAGAAATTGTTAATTGTGTGTTTAGTTAAGCAGTTTTTTGGCAACTTTCCTGTAAATGACAAGGCAATAATCTCATTTTAAAATGGTAAGAAACATGCTCTACAGTCTCGAGATGTAAAAAGGGTGTAATTCCACATGATAAGCGATGTGCGGTCTGATCAGGTTTTAAATGTTACCTGCATCGAAATGCAGTGTCATCCTCTTGTACATTTTTATAGCTCCATCTAACAAAGCACCTTACCATATGTGTAGATCAGTTGGCATGTTTCCAGAACTGATCGTTTACATAGCAGAGATTGTATTGTATTGGTTGTTGGTTGACATTGCTCAAAAGTAAAGAGCTATGAGAATGAGAGTCTTAAATCAATGTAGATCTGTGGGCTTTAAATGCAGGGTGGATCAGCCTGTACTCTGCTCTTAGAACTGATAGTAGCGTCTTTATCTTGATGTTTGGGTGGAGAACCACATACACTCCAAATATATGTTCTTTTTAATTATGACAGTTACCTGTTGCAAAAGATTTTTTTGTTTTTCAATCATTTTAGCACATTTTTTGAAACTTGGTTTAGTTTGATCATTTGATTTCTCACAGCCCTGTTACATACATCAGTAGTTGAGAATTATGTGGGTGAGTTTGCCTTGTAATTGTAAAAATACATACTTTATGGTCATAATATTTTAGTAATTACTGGGCCTATTCATGTACTAGAAGAACTGGCCAACAGTTTAGACGTAAGTGTAGGAGTTATTAAGTTAGACGGGCTTACTTTCTCTTTTTTTTCCTATTGCTTTGGCATTTTTATCTATTGAAAATTGACATTTGCAAAACAGCTCACCCAAAATCCTTAACAGAATTTAGTTTTCCTGAGCAAAATTTAATTTAAGCAAAATGCAGTTTTTTCATGCAAACTTTTCAATTATCTCCCAAAAGCAAATTTTACCATCAAAACTGTCACAATTTGCTTATGTGTTTTTCTGTGCTCTTTCATTCACACCAAAGTCTCTGTTCTTCTGTCACTAGCCACATACAGTCACTGGTTTAGTGCAGTTTGACATTGGGATTCATACTTCACACATATGAATTTTGGACTGGAAAAGCTTTTCTTTTTTCTTTTTTTTTTTTCTAAAGCCTGTCTGTACTGTATTATGTCAAATATAAATGTACACAATACCAATTGCAAAGTAGACTTTGCAGTATTTGATCACAAATATTTATGTTGAAGAAAACTGAAAGATGTAAATACATCAAGACTGCTTTTGTACTGAAATATGCCATGAGCTCTTAAAAATCAAAGAAGACATGTACACTTCTCACAACGTGTATATGCCTGTGTAGTGTCTAGTCTGTTCTCAGCAGAGACTCTTCTCCCTGTTTGAGTTTCTATATTGAAAGTGACAGAGTTTGGGCTATAGTCTTTTACCATGTGAAAACAACCCTGTAGTTGAAAAAAACAAGCTAAATTCACTGATTTTATGTCCAGATACATGTGTGGATCAAATGATCAAACCAACTGTCTGGATATAGACTCTACATATGCACAGTGTGAGAGGTGTAAATGTCTTTTCCACATTGTTCGGTGTGACTTTGTAACACGTTACTTTTTAACGGAGTGTACATAGTGTAACGCGCTACTTCTGAAAATCTGGTAACCGAACGTAGCGCTACGCAGTTGGGACGCACTGGGGACAGTCCACCGTGGTCGATAGTCGTGCCGGGAGCAAGAGGTCCGGGCGGGAGGAGCTGTAAAGCACACAGCAGGAGCGTCGTGCCACCTACACCTCGAGCCTTTCCAAGCCAACCTAGAGCCGGTCTCATCCGTCACTTGCCCGCTGAGTTTAATTCCCCCGGCAGACTGCGCGGACCCCACCCGTTTACCTATTAATGGTTTCCCGTCCTCTTGAATTCTCTCTTCAAAGTTCTTTTCATCTTTCCCGGTACTTGTCGACTGTCGGTCTCGTGTTGCAGTAGCTTATTGCAGTATTAAAGTAGTGTTGATATATTTGCTATTCCAACATATTTCATAAATATTTTTGATCAATAGGTAGGTAATGTGTACATTTATGTTTGACATAATACAATACAGACAGGCTGTAGACAAAAAAGTTAACCTTTTCTAGCCCAAACCCCAGTGGCACACTGCACTAAACCAGTGGTTCTCTTCAGTCAGTGAGAGAACGACTACAGCTTTTGATTTGCAGTGTCAAATGAATGAAAGAGCACAGAAAAACACAGGACCAGAGTCTGAGAGTTTTGAAGATATAACTTGCTTTTGGAGCATGATCGATCAGTTTTGATGGAAAACTGCATTTTGCTTAAATAAAATTTAGTTTAGGAATACTATAAGTCTGTGCCAAAGCAAATGGGATGAAAACAAAACAAAAACATATTTTAATCATATTTGTAGACCCAATACTTCACACAAAATTATAAGTTTCAACTAATTAGGATTTTCTGGGAGTATTACTTTCAAAACAGTATTTCATTGGTCTCTGCCCTCCTTTTGAACGTATGATACCAATTTATAGAATGGTAGATGGACTTAATTTCTTTTAAAATTAGGGTAGTTATGGTGATGAATATGAAAGTACTCTCATGGGTTTCAGGCAAATTATTTTGTGAGGACCTTTCCCCATTTAAAACACATTTTTTGCTAAAATAATGGAGGACTGCTGCTATGTAAACCTTTCAAATCAGGAAAGAATCCTTATGCCTGAAACCCATGATAATAGACTTCAATGAGAAGAGCATTGCAGTGTTGAATGAGAAAAAAGTTGAGCTTTGAGAGTTTTCGGTGATTATAGAAACAATTTGTGTTGACATTCGTTCATAAATGTGCATTGACACTTCCACCTTTCCACTTCCAGTGTTATTCATCTCATTATCAAAAAAAAAAAAGACTCAATGCATTGTAATAAATTTTTTTTGCACTTATATTCAAACAGTGGATCTGGGTTTATTGAAATTTTCCGATAAAACCTTTACAAAACCTAGGCAGAAACAGTTCAGTTAATTATTCTCACTGCTGGAATGTTAGCTACATGAGACCACACCTCTAGGAGATCTGTTTATTAGTTTCACATTCTTAGTAGTGGCTCAACCAGCTCTAGAGGAAACTCCCCCGTCACACCTCTCTCCACAAGGCTTTGTGCATTAAAATAACATTGAAACAAACAAATGTACTGTTTCATAAAATGTCTAGAAGGTGTGTCTTCCATACTGATGTAGCTTAATACATTTTCTGAATTAGATTAATTGTCACCCTTAACAAGTGATTATCAACCTATAAAGTTCAGGATGACCATTACCATCCAAATCTACGATGTAGAGTTATATTAGCCAAAACAGTGTAAAAAAAAAAAAAAAAAAGAGCCATGGAACAACCCAATAAATAATGAATGAATGGTACAATTAGACAGCAAAAAGTGGCAAAAGCTGTTATTGTGTCCTTCAGGAGGACACTACATCCATTGATTGGTATGAATGTGGTGAGTGAGTGTTGGTGGTGGTTGGAGGGGCTGATGCCTCTTTGGACTGGTTAGCTGCATGACTCCATGGAGATAAAAGTTGATAGATTATGCAGGTGGTGTGCCCATCATCAGAGTTATTATGCAGTGCTGCTTTAACTATGCTTTGATTAGTTTATAAATGGGTCGATTGGTTGGTACCAGCCAAAATAAAACGAGACAGAAACATTTAGTGTTATTTCCCAAACAAGGGTTTAAAGTGATATTTCTGACATTGTGTAATTAATTGTTGTTGTTAATTAATTAATTCATACTTGATCCTCATTCAAAATATTTACTGGTGCATTTTAGCACATCCCTGATTCACTGTTAAAATATCACTTGAATATCATGGATTTTCAAAATACAATAATGATTTCAAAACTGATGAAACCTCGCAGAATGAAAAGCAGAAACAAAAATACTAGGATGTGTTGTTATAATAGTTTATTATTTATTTTATTAATTAATACATTTTTAAACAAACAGGGCAAGACCACATAGAAGCTCTGTAAAAATACATTTAAATTGACTATATTGGTCTGGACCTGTTCAGGACCTGTTCAGGGTGCGGCTATGTTTGTTAGAATAGTTATTAGGAACTTTGACGTTCAGCCATGACTGTATGCACAGGTATGATGATGTCACTGACTCTGCTCAGACTTGCTCTGGCACCCCAATACAAAGGTTCTCTGCCACCCTTGTGGGAGGTGCAATTTGTTTCCGGCTTGAAAAACAGGACATTGACATAAAAGTCTTCCATTATGGTGTATTATCATGTCATTTGATATGTTACTTTGTAATAAAATTAGAAGTTTGGCCAATGATATCTCAAAACAAATCACATTCACTTGTTTGCTCCTGTAGATATATTTTAAATACATTTCATATGGTCCTCACTGACAGTGACCTTCACTCCATGCTTCCTTCAGAAGATCCTATGTGTTTTAAATGTTTAATATGTTAAAGGTTTTGTTGCTCCTTTCTCCACAGACTTTTTTTAAATAGGGAATGAACACATGGTCTCAGAAATGTGGCTTTCAAAACCTGCAACCATAAGAGCACAACTTGTTATGAGTTGCACTCTGCAAGAATACTGCTTCAGTCAAACTTTCTCTACATGCAGTCTCAAGCAGTAGAACATTATGCAGAGTATATTACTGTGGTGATTAGAAAACGAGAGAAACGTTGCGTTACAGTGGTTTAATCTTTTTGGCACATTTTCTGAAACATTTTTTTTTTATATAAATCTGGTAAATCTTTTATATACTTTGCAAAACTATTCATATGTAGTGGGAGGGAGTCAAACCTGTGGGACCAGTATCACAC